CTTTATTTCATTATTACAAATTTAGAAACTCTATGGGCCACGTCGTATTTTAACTAGCAACCATCCAAACACTACGGTTAGTCGATAACACAAATGATTCTTATAAATAAACTACGATATTGTCGGCTATTTAGGAGACTATATATTTACTAGTTGGTCGTCATCACGAAGCAAAGAGGCCTAAACGAAAGCGAATTTTTCTCCAAAGTTTGGAGAAAAGGCTGAGCTAGAGGGACAAATCACACTTTCATTTTCTTTTTATAGAATTCGTCAAGGTCATACCTTATTCATATAAACTGATCCTTCCTTCGGACCAAAATCGCTTGGGTGAGCATGTTTGTTTGCATCATTCAAATCACATGACTTATCTTTTATACGGAAGTTCAAACTCTTGCAGCGAGACTCGCTCGAACAGATCATCACACACTCACTAATAGTGGAAGTTTTTTGAGTTGAAACAACGTGACCGGAAAGATGGTGACCATACTCTGAATATGTGGAGCGACGGCACTGCTCACTGGCTTGGCTTAGCTGTACGTGCCATATGACGATGAACAGGACAGAATAACACAGCAGCATGGTTTTCTAATGAAATAATGAAGTAACAAATATTTGATTGAAATAAACTCAATGCTAAAGGCTTAGATTGGGATTTATCATTTTATTGCCAAAACGCGGGTAATAAGACAATGAAGATTTTAAGGAATACTCGCTGGCTGGTGCAGCCAAAGTCAGCGCACCATTACCGTTGGAAACTTTTCACAATAATATAGATCCTCAGAGTGTACCTACCGTATGTGAAGCACTTTTCAGATCCTTCACAGGAGCTTGCGAAATTCGAGTAGAGACGCCGAATAGGACTAAACAGCGTTTTGTGTAATCCGGCTAAAGAGGTCCTATATAGCAAGATAAAAAATACTGAAGTTACTGCTTCGATAGAGAAGCTAAAACTAAAGATATTGCTAGTGGAATCTCAATAAACTAGATCCAACAAGACAGGGGGTGGGCGGCCCAACATCTGTCATAGAAAAGATGCCATTAAAAATTAACCACTTTATTAACCACGCGATATCGCTCAACTTTAAATTAACGATTTTTCTCTTAACGTCTCGATAAACTAAATCCAAGAAAACAAAGAACGTCTACATCTAAATAGTGGTGCACCCAACGTCTGTCTTACAGAGGATGAGATTAAAAATTAACAATGTCACAATTCTCTGAATTTGTGTTTTCAACCCTAACCAGTAAACATGAATTCTAAAACCAAGAAGAAACAAAAGAAAAATTAAACATGAAAGATATATATGAGTAATCTAATTCAGAAGCTTCCGTAATTATTTGATGAAATTCATATTTCAAAAAGATAACTGACTGAAAAAAGAGATTTACCAATTGGTAAACATTTAAAATAAATACAAATTAATCGAATGAAGCCTTATACTGCTGTAAAAAGTAAAATGTTTCATAAATCTGAGCTTTCGCCGATCAACGGCATCATCGGGGATAAGATAATATTCCGGGAGCGCTAGATATCTTTTACACCCTTTGTTTAGACGGTCCATTATTACAGCTTTTATTATGTTCCATTCACGGTTTATTTCTACAGCTTTCACACATAGTCACGTCTTTCACACACTTCACCACATACCGTCTTTTTACACACATATATATAATATAGCGCTCCCGGAATATTTTCTTATCGCTGATGATGCCGTTGATCGGCGAAAGCTCGGATTTATCAAACATTTTACTTTTTACAGCAGTGTAAGGCTCCATTCGATTAATTTGTATATATTTCAACAATGCAATGATAAGTAGAGTGAGTTTAAGGTCGCAGCGGAACAGTGGCATGGCTTGCTATTGAAGCAACGAAGAGTTTGAAAAGTTTAAGTCTAAGAAAAACAAGTTGATAGTTTAACCATTCCAAATTAAGGTGACTAAGACATCAGAAAATAGACAGAAGATAGACATATCGACAGAAAATGGTGAAACAGAACCAAAATTTTCTAAAAGTGTATCGGTTACTGTTTCGCTGTGCTTGCTTGTTTTTATTTTAATGTAATATTTCTAAGGAAATCTAAGCTGGCTAGCGCTATTGGAGTCACTCCGTATATCGTGATGATATGGAGTGCTTTATTGAACAATGTATAGTTTTCGCGAGTATTCTTCTCATCCTTAATTATTTATCTAGTTAATTAAATTTTATCTTAGCTTATGTTACTCTCCCAGATTAAAAAACATCTTTATCCTAAGGTTTTCAGATGGAGTTTAACGCGAAAGTTTCTATTCAATGCTATCATATCATCTTACAATAGACAAAATTAAATATATTCAAAGGAATAGGAACGAATTTTTGGAAAACAAGAAGCCCAAAAAATGTTTTCAACTAAACACACAGGGCTTTTTGAATTTTTTCCCAAAACAATGAACTTCTTTTGTTATTGAAACTAGCGAGGAAGTGGCGTTGATTAAATTTGAAGAAACTTGCAGGTGATTTGATGGTGCTGATACTCTGTTGGTGGGGTGATGTATTAGTAGATTGTAAGTATATTGGGCTCACGGACCACTTTTTGATATGTTGAATCTATCAATAAAGATTTGAAGCCGGTTTCAGCAAGGAAGTAAAACAGGTTTGCACTCTGACGCTGATTTTTTTTTAAATTTTTTTTAAACTAGCATTTTACAACTTTTTTATTTTAATATTACATCGGAATTTTGTTTGAAATTGATCCAGTATTTATCAGCCAGGTGTAAACATGTTTCTTTAAAGTTGACATGCTTAAAACACTCCTTGAATCTTTGTACAAAAGATGAGTGAGCTCAGACTAGGGTTTATAATATGTCAAATAAAACAGCGAAGCAGTTAATTTTTTATTCCCAGAGAATAGCTACTCCTCAAGAGTAGCCATTGTAACTTTTTTTAGTTTGCTAATGCAACTACACAATGTTTGGGAATACTCTTTAAAGTAATAAATAATTAAAAGCTTAAGTCAAACTCGTATTCAACAATAAAACCATCCCTTTGCTTGGCTAACGAAGCCGAATCTGTACATCATAATCACACTGTCAAGAGCTCTTAGAATTTCATTATCTTATGCGAAAATTGAATATTACCTCAAGTAGCTGAAGTTCCCAGGATTTACCTCCATAAATATGCTAATATCTTTATGATGCCTAATGGGCAAATTCAATCTAGCAATTAAAAGAATTTGTTTAAGAATGAATGTTTCTGTCCTTAACTTGAAATCTGAACAGGTTTTGGACTAACCTCTCTTTCACGGTTATTCCTTTATATCGGAGTTGTTTTCTAGGCTGGTTTACTAGATTTTTGTTTTCATGTTTATTGGGTAGGGCGGAAAGTATACAAACTCAAATAGTCATGGGATATCACGTTTTTAATGACATTGCTAATTTTTAATGACTTCTTTTGTATGCCAACTCTTAGGCCATCTACCATTTAGATAGAGAGGTTCTTTGCCTTGTCAGATTAAGCTAATTGAGAAGTTGAGAGCAAAATTGCTTCCAATCTTCTTTCGAAGCATTAAAGACTGCACGTGGCTACTGGTATAGCGCATTTGTAGCATTGGAAAGAACTAGAGGTTGTATGATGACGCTATAAGGTAGTGTTCCAGAATATTTGTCTCGTTTGCAAAACAGAGCACCGCTGCATCCTACACATTTTACTGCAATTCTATTTTTGAGACATTTGTACTTGGTTATTCCGTCATTCTGCGTCTTGATATGTCTTCTGAACTACACATTTTTCAGAACTAGATTCCTCATCATGATATTTTTCGCTTTATCATTTCTGTCCAACCAATCATTCTAGTTTTTGTTTTCAGGTTTATTTGTTAGGGTTGAAAGTTTACAAACTCAAATAGTCATGGGATATCACGTTGTTAATGACATTGCTAATTTTCAGTGACTTTTTTTGTATGAAAACTCTTAGGCCGTCCACCATTTACATGGAGAGGCTCTTTGCCTTGTCAGACTAAGCTAATTGAGAACTGAGTTGAGAGCAAAACTGTTTCCAACCTTCTTTCGAAGCAGTAACTTCCGTTTTGTTTTGTTGTTATAAAGGCCTCCATCGCTTGATTACTTAAACCGCTGTTGAGTCCCCCTAGCAGCCTGTACTCGAGTCTGGCAAAGCTCTGTAGCGGATCTAAAAGGGGCCAAAGGCCAAAGGTAGGTACACTGTAAGGGGGCCTAGCCAAAGGTAGGTACACTGTAAAAGGGCCTAGCCAAAGGTAGATACACTGTAAGGAATTTTATTATTTGAATAGTTTCCAACGGTCATAGGTCGCCGAGTTTCGTTTAGGCAACCAGAGAACATTCCTAAAAATCTCTACGTGTTCACACTTGCGTATTGGCGATAAAATAATACTTACAGGTTGTATAGGAAAATTTCACACATTGATTTATCTATGGATGACTATCGATTAACATTTACATAGTTCTTATCTTAAAATGACAAGTTAGTGGCAAGTTTGCAAAAGAGCTTTTGTACTAGACCAGTCTAAAATTCTTAGACTTATTGATGATAACCAACTCGAGAGGTAAAATTTAAGTGTCAAAATGTTATCTAATTTTTGGGGCGATACAAACCTGCCAGAAGGTTAATCCAAATGGAAAGTCTCTCTTAGTCAGAGCTTGCAGACTATGGAATAAATTATCTTTAGAATTAAGACGTAAAGATTCTCTTCCTGCATTTAAGAAGAGGGGCACAGATATCAAGTAACGACTAAACTGAGATATCAACTTTAATAGTGATAGAACTTAAAGGGAGAGACCAGACATTTACTTTTTGATATTATCTGATACCGTAGCAACTGACAAAGCATTATCTTTTATACCTTTAATATTTTTTTACTTTATGGTACAAGAGCTTGGCCTTCAGACGGCTTACTCTGGTGACGATGCAGTGTACAAGTATATCCGAAAGATAATGGCCCTACCATTCCTTCTGTTTGGAGAGATCGTGCCGATGTTCGTCCGCATCGAGGCCCAGGCCCAAACAGAACAGCTGAGGAGTCTCGTTGACTAAGTCAGGCGACAGTGGATCGAAAGCCAGGTGTTTACTCCAAGAAACTGGTGCGTCTACAAACAGCCGATCCGGACCAATAAAGATCTTGAAGGTTGGGGTAACGCACTCGCCGAGCGGGGGGACAATGCGGCTTGCCGATATATTTAGTAATCGGGTTGCTTGATAGGGAGGCATAACTTACAGCCGTGACAATCAGGCTTGTATCAGGAAATAAACTTAAAATAATTCAACGTAGTGTCACTAGGAATATCCAGGCTAAGCTATTTGCAAGCTGGAAAAAGTACGAGAACAACGAAAAGACTGCCGCCCAACTACTCAAGACTTGTTCTCGGCTTAACGGACCAGCTCGTGCGAACTNTATTAATCGGGTTGCTTGATAGGGAGGCAAACCTTACAGCCGTGACAATCAGTCTTGTATCAGGAAATAAACTTAAAAGAATTCAACGTAGTGTCACTAGGAATATCCAGGCTAAGCTATTTGCAAGCTGGAAAAAGTACGAGAACAACGAAAAGACTGCCGCCCAGCTAATCAAGACTTGTTCTCGGCTTAACGGACCAGCTCGTGCGAACTTAAACTTCTCTGTAAATATGATAATTTGGTTTGAGATAATTATTTCATTGGTTTTTGTGCTTGTAAATATTTGATACTTTATATTGTAATAAAATTGCTGTTCTTATTTAGTTGAAGTTCCATTTTATTTATTACTCGATTATAAGGCTGGAAAAGTTGAACATAGAATGTTAATTTAGATCGTAATACATTAATGAATTGGTAAGGTAGTTGCAATAAATGTGAAAACGTGCAAATTTATGTGAAGTCAGTCAAGCGAAACTGGCAGTGACTCAAGGATCAGGATTGCATTCTAAACATCAATAAGCAACTTTTTTTTTTCGTTAGTCTTGGATATCTGACGTTGGCGAATTGACCAGTAGGACGTTGGC